AGTGGAAAAATAATCAGTTGAGGAATGGTCCCATTATGTCACATATGGAAGCAGGCTCAGGGGGACTGACCAGCCGGCCTCCATTCTGATTGCCTTTAGCCAGTTTCTCCAGGGGCTTCCCTCTGAAGGCATAAATCATAAATCTTCTGTGTTCCCTTTGACTGTTGGTGTGTAGTGTCCCATCCTACTGTTTGAGTATGAGGGTAGTTTGTTTAGAAGCGCAAAGGTCTCCTTCACTGGCCACTTTAAATAGAATCTCCCGCCGCAGTCTAGTCTGCTGTGTTAAGGCTGACGTCTGTCACCCCCTATAGTTTTGGGAGAGCAAGGGCCACATGGGCTTTGTTTTTTCACAGGGATATCATCCAGACTCAGTTTTCTCTTGAACAGTTGTCATTTCTAGCTCCAATCTGCTCCACAGAATTCTCTGTACAGAGAATTTTCAATTTTCACATAGTGGTCTGTTGAAAACACACTACAGGAGAGTAGCTATTTTGAGCACTGCTGACAAAGAACCATTTCTTCCAGAGATATCAACCTTTTCTAGAGGCTTTTTATTAGACAAGCAACATCTCCTCATTCTAGAGGGTCCTGCTTGATTCCTAGTTGCTGTGGTTGGACATCCTCTTTCCTAGGTCTCAGGAAGAATTATCCGGATTACAGGGTTTGGTGTTCTAACACATGACTCTTACATTTCTCATTGGTCTTAAAATATCCAAGATATGAGCTCTCTGTCTTTTGTGCCCTGGGAGCAGTTCTCCTGCCACAGCCCCTCATCCCCTGAAAATGTATGTCTGTGCGAAGTTCCTCTCCACCCCCTTGGGCAGGAGCACCTCTCAGCTGTTGAGCCGATCAGTGTCTCCAGCGGTGCTAAAAGCACCTGGAGACACTGACAGATGAGAGCCTCAGCAGCTTGGTAGCCCCGTGTCCCCTGACCTCACTTATTCCCAGCCGCAGCTGAACCAGAGCCATTTCAAGGGAAGTTCATTGGGGCTGGGGCTGCCACGGTAGGGATGGCTGGCTCTGGGGCTGGAATTGGGACTGTGTTTGGGAATTTCATCATTGGTCATGTCAGGAACCTGTCTCTGAAGCAACAGCTCTTCTGCGCCATCCTGGACTTTGCCCTCTTGGAGGCCATGGGGCTCTTTTGCCTGGTGGTGGCCTTTCTCATCCTCTTCACTATGTGAAGGAGCTGTGTCTCCATCTTTCTCCCGTGTCTCGTCTGCCCGGTATGTTCCTTTTCTTATACCTCCCCAGGCAGCCTGGGGAAAGTGGTTGGCTCAGGGTTTGATAAAGGGAAGACAAATAAATACTGTATTAATAAGATAAAAGAAAATCCAAAATCTAAGAATGAGCTATTATTTGAAGTTGAAAAACCAAAGGCTTTTAGTGTCCAGGGGATCAAAAAGGGGATGGAAAACCAGGATGGTTTGAGATTTTTCAAGGCCCCCTTTTTTTTCCAGGGAAATTTGGCCCAGGATTTCCATCTTCATTCATCACAAATGTCTCTTAGCCTTGACGAGTTCAGTATAGATAATGTGGTTGGGGAAGCTGACCTCGGGCTGGTTGTTTTGGTTACTTTGAAGAATCTCATGTTGCCTCCTATGGTTATCCATGTGGGACTAGGACTTGCTCGTCATTCTGACTTGTTTAGCACTGCTTGGGCGGGGGCAGAGGGAGAGCTTGTGGGGTAGTGACATTTGAGCTGAAGGAGCAGGAATGTGTCTGGAAAGATGGACCAAGAATAAGTGAGGGGTCCCAGTGGGAAGGCCTGAGGGCCAGGCCAGAAAGTTTAGGAGGAAGCCAGTAAAGGTGTCAGCACAGAGAAGTTGAGAGGCTTAGATATATCCATTTGGTACTTTTTTTAAAGTATGGAAACAATACTTGTTTGGTGGAAAATGTGGAGGTGATGGAAAATATTTAAAAATTTAAACTACCTTTAATTTTACTACCTAGAATATAACTGCTGCTAACATTTTTATTGTGCCCTGCTAATCTTTTTTCTATGGATGCTTGGTGTTTTTCCCTATCTTTGTTAAGTAGATCATATAAGTTGTTTCTTCTTATAAGGGCATGATGAACATCCTCATGTAAATGAGGTATTTCTCTAGATACCCACTTTGGGTATATTTCTCATCAAGGAATGACTAGATCAGAGGAGATGTGAACCATTTAAAGTTTCTTAATACATATTTCCAAATTGCCTTTCAGAAAGGTGGTACTAATTTACATTTGCGTGAGTACTGTATAAGCGTACTGGTTTTCTCCAAGCCTGGTCCACCGTGAATGTTCTTTTTATCTATTCAGTCTGATGTGAGAATATGGCTTCTATGGCCATTTTTTATGTCATTGATTATTAGTGAGGTTAAATAAGCATACACGTTATTTGTATTTGGCAAATTGTCTCTCGCTGATTTTTTTCTATTGGCATGGCCACATTTTATTGACTTGTAAGAGGTTTTGTTTTGTTTTTAATAGGTAAGGAAGCTGAAAATCTAATTTTTCATAGACACGCTGCAGTGATCACCTAGCAGGTGTTTGAGAGCCAGGGGGCGCTGTTCAGCAGGGCTGTGATGTTATTACATGTCCTGCTCATGCAGTGACCAGCTGGTGACTTGTGTATATATATCTAGAGGCAGGCTTCCTGGATTATCAGAAGTATTGGCTCCTGTTTTACAGGGATGAGCAAAAAGGCCTGAACTTCAAGTCAGAATTGAACCCAGGTAGGCTGAATCTGAGTTCCATGCTCTTTGCTTTAGCCATTCTGCCTTCCTGGCCCCCATAGTCATTTCCTTCCATGGCTTGGCCAAAGAGCCCCTAATACAGGAGGACCTGTGAGCATCTCAGGGTTCGGCTGTGGGGGTGGGAGAGCACTTGCCTCACTCTGCACCTGTCTTGGAGAGAGGAGGTGGGGTAGTGGCCCCAGAGTTCTTTGGGGCCTGCATGCTGGAAGCAGGAGCATCTCAGCACGGGCCCTGGAGGCTGCACCAATGTGAGGCCTCTGTGGCATGGAGCCCTTACCCACTGATGCGCACTTCAGCCCCAGCTTCTCCGTGGAACCCTCTCTGCTCCTGCACCCCATTTCTTCATCTTCCTTTCCTCTCCAGTCTTCCATGGAAATTGACTGTCCAAATTCTGGTTAGTGCTGTCTCATCAGCAAATAGAGTCTGTGGAGTTGGGCTCCTTGACTTGGAGTTCTGTAGCTCCCACGAGATTCAGTAAAGGATATGTGTTGATCTGTCATGATGGTTTCTGGCAGGGAGGCAAAACTGACCGTCCCTGGGAGAAGAAAGCTTGAAGGCACAGCCCTCCTGCCGACTTGGTCATAAGCTCCTGGTTACTGTCAAACTTGGCTGTCCCTAGCACATATGGTTGTCAGAAGGTGGAGTGGTGCTAAGTCAGCTGTGAAGATTAACAACTGGCTAGACAGTGAGAATCAGGCCTCTGGTTTCAGGAGGAATTTGTTGAGCTTAGTGACTAGAGTTGGAGAGCAAAAAAGAAAATATTGGCGTGTCAGTATTTGTTTCTAGTACTGAAGTACCACATTATGTTAACATGATGTGTACCCCTTTCAGAAGTAGCCTGACTTCTGGCACCATATTTTATTTTAGTTTTTGCTAGTTGTAACCCACTGAACTGATTTTAAGACCCCGTAGGTTTCAATCCACAGCTCGAAAAACACCAATACCCCTGAGATAGGAATTGTTTCTGTCTTATAGATGAAAAAGCTGAGGCCCAGAAGGTGACACAATCTCTCCTAAGATCACACAGCTAGTACCAGTTCCCCCTTTCCCATTCTTCTGGGGTATTCTTCTCCTTAAGATAGACTTCTTTGGAAAGTCAGTTGCAGCCTTTTGTTTTGTTTTGTTTTGTTTGTCTGGTTTACCACTCCCTCTTACTTGTGTTTACGGGATTGATATTCATTATTAATGTAGCTTTAGTGAGTTCCAATATTACAATTCCTAAGTACTGAGAATGTTTTTGTGACTGTGAGTAGTATACATTTGCATACTGTTTTGGGAAGTCGTGTAGTTTGGAGGCTTTCATGGCATTCATCCCCTGCATCCCCCTAATAGAATGAAACTCTACAGGTGCATAGATGGCATGCAGGTGTGACAGATGAATTGGACTAGGTGTAGACAGCTCCCCACTGTCACCAACCACAAAGCATGCTGACTCCCATTTCCTTCTCTGTGTGTAGAAGCCTATGGATAGATTTCTTCTCACCCGATGTCTCCTCAGGCTGCAGAATACCTACCTGCAGGGCCTAAGTGTCCTGTCAGTCCTGTTAATCTCAAGCCTTTCTGGTTGAGAGCTTATTGCTCGCAGCCAGGACCTCTTGGAGTAAATGGCTCTGGAACAGCAGGGACTGATGTTTAACAGTGCATGCCTAGAAGCCCTTGTTTGGGCACCGAGTCTGAGGACCCTCTCGGACTGTGAATTGCTCACTCGCTGTGTCCATTCTTAGGTCAGGCCTAGTTCTTAGAGCCTGGGCCATCTGAGTTCTCCATCCTTGATAGAGTTATCTGGGAGTGAGGCAGCTTGGAAACACTCTGAAGACAGGTCTGCAGATAGCCAGTGGCCTGAGACTGAGGGAGGATTCTCTGGGATTCAAACTTGAGCACTAAGCACAAAGTCTGTACTATTGGGGCAGACAGCATCTTCATTTGTTAGTGCCTGAGTCCTGCCCAGGCAGAACAATAGAGATTCCAGGCATTGAAAACAAGATAGCAGTCCCCAAATGGAGTCACTTATACTAAGCCTTACATCACCAAACTGAAACTTAATAATTAGTTTCGGCTCTCCCAGAAATGGAATCTTAAACTAGTCAGAAGTCATCTGACAGCACCAGTTAGGTAATCTGCCTGATAGACCCCTGTCATCCCCTAAAGGAAAATGACCTCACAGTAACCAGTCTGCTTTGGCTTAGCATGACTTCCGTATTCCTACTCACTTCTGCCTATAAAAGTCTTTTCATTTTGTACAGCTTCTCAGAGCTCCTTTCTGTCTGTTAGGTGGGATTCTGCCCTATTCATGACTCATTGAATAAAGCCAATAAAATCTTTAAAATTTACTCAGCTGAATTTGGTTTTTTAACAAAGGAACCCTAGGATGATGTCGTTAAATAAGTGTCCTCATTACAGAGGTGCATAATAATCTTTGGGTAGAAGATTTGCAACCCCGAACATTTATAAGAAAGTCTTTTTTTTTTTTTTTAATTGATGAAGCAGGTACCTTTTGGTTATCTAGAAATTTCACTGTGGATTAGTGGATTTTTCCTTAATACCAGATAACTGAGGTGTTAGAGTTTATTCTATTCACCAAACCTCAGCTTCTCAGCTGAGATGGAGTTGAGTGGGGACAACAGCCAGCCTGTCCACAGTGTGAAGACTGGAGTGGCCACTACAGCTGTGCTTGTTACACAGATGGTGAGTAATTTTTTTGGATGATGCATCAGTCTGTCTTTGCATGGAGTGACAACCAGTTTGGCAGGGGCTTAGCTTCTGGAAGCCCAAGCTGCAGGAAGCAGGTATTTCCCTTTTGCAAAATTGCTGGACAGAAAAGCAGTCAGCAGCTGCTGGACCTTATTTTCTCATTCTGCTATGCACCTTGGTTCTGGATGTTTGATGTCTCATCCTTAGAACGTTCTTAAGAATTTCTCATTCCTGGGGCGCCTGGGTGGCTCAGTTGGTTAAGCGACTGCCTTCGGCTCAGGTCATGATCCCGGAGTCCCGGGATCGAGTCCCGCATCAGGCTCCCTGCTCGGCGGGGAGTCTGCTTCTCCCTCTGACCCTCCTCCCTCTCATGCTCTCTGTCTCTCATTCTCTCTCTCTCAGATAAATAAATAAAATCTTAAAAAAAAAAAAAAAAGAATTTCTCATTCCTTCCACTTACGGAATTTGCAAATCTGGGTGAATGCTGTGAGCTGGTGCCATTTTGTGCAGAGTGGCTGGCTCTGTGAGAAATTATGCTTGCCATTTTAACCTACAGACTCAGGAGTGGAGAACTCCTTAGTTGTTCCTTAACCTGTCATCTTCTCTCTCTTCCTCCCTTTGTGAAGAAACCTGTATTGGGGACCTCGTATATAGGCCATGGGGATGTTGCAGTGAATAACCCAAGTCCCTTCCACGTGGACTTTGTGTTCCAGTGGGGGAGACAAATGTGTAATAATTTCAGGTGGTAGTGATGTTATGGAGAACAAAGCAGGTATTTTTTAATATGAGGGTAGCATTTTGTTTTTTAAAAGATTTTGTTTATTTGACAGAGACAGCGAGAAAGGGAACACAAGCAGGGGGAGTGGGAGAGGGAGAAGCAGGCTTCCTGCAGAGCAGGGAGCCCTATGCAGGGCTTGATCCCAGGACCCTGGGATCATGACCTGAGCCGAAGGCAGACGCTTAACGACTGAGCCACCCAGGCGCCCCGAGGGTAGCATTTTGAAGTGTTAGTATTAGAAGGGCCCTTCCATTAATGAATCTGATTGGCTCAAAGGACAGATGTGTTCTTACTCTTCCTGGAGCATTTTCCATTACTCAAGGGAAATGTGCAGAGACTTATACCTTTTGTAGGGCAGGACTGAACCATTTAGGGCTCTGAAAGGTTTTACTCTGCCCACTTAGTCATTATTCCTGGCAACATGAATTACTGTCTGCAAATACAGCTCATGACCACTCTGGGTTTTATGGGTGCCCCCGGGGGTGTCCCTCACCAGCCTCCCTGGCCCCAGTCATTTTAACCTTTGGGAAAAGGCTGACAATGCAGCCCTTTCAGTATTAGTTGGATTTGTATAGCTGTAGCTCTAGGGTGGTCTTCCTCATACAAATGCTGGCACACCATTATTCTAGACTTTGTCAATAAAGGTTGATGAATTTGATTAAAATTTAATGAATTTAGGGGCACCTAGGTGGCTCAGTTAAGTGTCCAACTCTTGATTTCAGCTCTGGTCATGATCTCTCCGGGTCATGAGATTGAGCCCCACCTGGTCGGGTTCCGCACTGGGTATAGAGCCTGCTTAAGATTCTCTTTCCCTCCCTCTGCCCTTCCCCACCACTCCTGTGTGTGCACTCTCAGTCTCTCTCTCTCTCTCTCAAAAAAAAAAAAAAAAAAAAAACCAAAAAAACAAAAAAAAAACCAACATTAAAATTCAATGAGTTTTAAAAAGACACTTATTTTCAAACAGAGAAAGACATGTATCATATGATCTCATTGATATGAGGAATTCTTAATCGCAGGAAACAAACTGAGTGCTGTTGGAGTGGGGGATGGGGTGGGAGGGATGGGGTGACTGGGTGATAGACACTGGGGAGGGTATGTGCTCTGTTAAGCGCTGTGAATTGTGCAGGACTGTTGAATCTCAGATCTGTACCTCTGAGACAAATAATGCAAGATATGTTAAGAAAAAAAAAAAGAAGAAGAAGGTAGCGGGAGGGGAGGAATGAAGCAGGAGAAATCGGAGGGGTGGACGAACCATGAGAGACGATGGACACTGAAAAACAAACTGAGGGTTCTAGAGGGGAGGGGGGTGGGAGGATGGGTTGGCCTGGTGGTGGGTATTGAGGAGGGCACGTTCTGCATGGAGCACTGGGTGTTGTGCACGAACAATGAATCATGGAACACTTCATCTAGAACTAATGATGTAATGTATGGGGATTAACATAAGAATAAAAAAAAAGACACTTATTTAGCTTTTACTAGATTTAAGGCAAGGGGTATTCAAGATAAAACAAAGATGAATAATGCAGTCCCTACTTTTGATGAGCTTGAAATCAAATCAGATTATGGCAAGTTCCCTCTTAACATAAATACCAATGGGCAACAAATGGTGTGAGAGAAGTGTAAGTAACATCCTGTGGGAACTTTATTGGTAGGAGATAAAGCCAGTGGGAAGGATGATCTGTTAGTTTCCTGGGGCTGTTCTAACAAATTACCAGGAACTGGGTGGTTTGAAACAACAGTCATTTATTCTATCACTTCTGGAGGCTGGAAGGCTGAAATGAAATTGTTGGCAGGCCTGCATTCCTTTCAGAGTCTCTAGGGGAGAATCCATGCCTCTCCTCTTCCCGGCTTCTGGTGACTATTGGCATTCCTTGGCTTTTGGCCACATCTCTGTCAGTGCTCTCTTGAGATTGCCTCTCCTCTGTGTGTCCAATTTTTCTGTGCCTCCCTCTTACAAGGATACAGGTGATTGCATTTAGGGGCCAACTGGATAATCCAGGATACGCCTCCTTTCAGGACCCTTAATTCAGTCACACATATAAGGGAATATTTACTTTTTTTTTTTTAAGATTTTATTTATTTATTTATTTGACAGAGAGAGACACAGTGAGAGAGGGGAACACAAGCAGGGGGAGTGGGAGAAGGAGAAGCAGGCTTCCTGCAGAGCAGGGAACCCGATGCGAGGCTCGATCCCAGCACCCTAGGATCATGACCTGAGCCGAAGGCAGATGCTTAACAACTGAGCCACCCAGGTGCCCCGAATATTTACTCTCTTGCCATGTAAGGTAATATTCACAGATTCTTAGATCAGTTTATTTTGAGGGAGGGGCCATTTTTTATTCCTGTGTGCTACAGATGAGAATCAGTAAAGACCTTCCTTGAGTCTTGGTGGCTTCTAAGGTGGGACTTGAAGCATGAGCAGGAAGGAGAAAAGGCAAGGAGCAAAGGGGGAGAAGAAGGAAGGGTGGGATGTAATCAAGGCCAACGGGTAGTTAGTTGTGCTTGGATGGAGCATGTGGTGTGTGCAGGGTGTGAAGGGCCTGGAATGGAGGTGGTTTATCTTTAATTCACTAGGCAAAAATGAGTGGAGGAGGGGTGTAATCAGAGCTGTGCCTTATGAAGATTAATCTGGGACTGTGTGCAGAATAAATTAGAGAAGGGAGGAATTGGTGGAGAACCAATTGGGAGGCCAGTGTAGTAGAGAAAGGTTGACATGCAGACGTCAGCAAGGTTACTAGCAATGGGAATGGGAATAAGGGAAGACCCTGTAGTAAGAGGGTCTTTAGTTTGAGAACTGATGAGGGGTGTGTGTGTGTGTGTGTGTGTGTAGTGTGGGGGGGTGTTAACAGTTCAACTAAGTAAATTTTTTTTTTTTAAGATTTTTTATTTATTTGAGAGAAATAGAAAGAGAGAGAGAGCACATGAGAGGGGGGAGGGTCAGAGGGAGAAGCAGACTCCCTGCCAAGCAGGGAGCCCGATGTGGGACTCGATCCAGGACTCCAGGATCATGACCTGAGCCGAAGGCAGTCGCTTAACCAACTGAGCCACCCAGGCGCCCTAAACTAAGTAAATTTTTAAAAAGATCTAATTGGCTTTTATTACATGATTCATGAATTGGGCAGCATCCCATCTAGCAAGCAGAGGGGAGCTCTGAGCAGAGTTGTATGGAATGGAAGGTTTTTATGGGGGCTGGGGGTGGAAGAAAGTTACTAGCAAAAGGATTGTTCCAGGCAAGGGGAGAGAAGCTGGGGGTCTTCTCATGCAGATTACCTTATCTTCCTCTGGGGGATAGAGAGGGTCCATGTGGCAGACCTACCAGCACTGATTAAAAATTCCTGACCAACCAGTTAAAACTACATTTCTGGGGGAAGTTGAAATGGCAATTAGATTCGATGTTAAGCTCTAGTTTGGGAAGTTGGTGTAAGTGATGCCATTTGGGGCCTGTGGTTTTCATCAGGGGGTTGGAGACAGTGGTGAAGATCAGTGTTCCCCATGGAGTGCATCTCAGGTAAATTAGGGTCTTGAAGGAAAACAGAAGGAAGAGCTTGTGTGGGTTAGAAAGGAGGTGATGAGTTTGCACCTATCAAGTTTGAGGTGCTGGTTGGACATCGAAGTGTCTTATTGGCAGGTTGATATATAGTGCTGTAGCTTGGGAGAGAGGACATAGCTAGTGTTATGGAGGATGAGTCCAAAGAAGAGAGGCTGATGGCAGTGGATCACTCACTAAGGATACGATGTACAAACACAACCTGCATTTAAGAAGTGTGGGGAAGAAGAACAGAAAAGATGTGATTGGAAAGGAAGAAAACTAAGACTATTTTAGTTGTAAACACAGGAAGCTGCTCAAATTTGATGAAAAAGGAATTCATTGGCTCATGTAACTTAAAGACCATGGGAATTCCAGCTTCAGACCTAATTTAATCTAGGGGCTCAAAAAAAAAAAAAAATCTAGGGGCTCAAATGTCACCAAGCCTTGGTCACACTCTTTCACATTGCTTTTGTTTTCAGGCTTCACATGGTTGTAAGATTTTCCAGCAGGTGAAAATCCCATGGACAAGGTCATGCCTTCTTCCTGGGGGCTCCAGAAGAAGTACAGGGAATCGCTGTGATTAGTTTGTGTGTCCAGTGAAAACATACAAACGGTGACCCAAACATATTTATCAATATTAGCAAAACATATTGGTTCTTGAATGCTATCATTTTGTCAGTAGACAAA